GACACCAGAGAGAGAGAGAGACAACCGACCGACAGAGGCGACTGAACCCATCGACCGTTTAAACCTCACACTGAGGCCTCCCGACGCCAATGAATAACCCACACAAACAATTCTGGAATTTTTACCCAATGACAAAGGCGGATCCCGTCACTACAGTCATCCACGCACTTGATCCACAGAGAGCCCAGACATTGGGGCCTCACCCAAATATATTGCCCACAATACACACAGTGAGTTCACTTTACACTATATCCTGTGTTGCGCTTTAAGATGTGATGCGGCGCCACAACAAATGCAAATATTATCAGTGTTATCTCTGAAATTACTAGTGTTTGCACTAACTGCTTCCGCTACAGGACTCCACCGATTATATCGCCGCCTTCAAATAACACCCCCGGAAACCATAAGGGCACTAATGTTCAGCATTGGAAATAAATGAATAGATGTGGACGCTTTGGATTAGAAAAGATTCCATTCTGATCCAACAGACATCAAATAGCCATCCAGCAACACCTCAACATTACACTGTTAAAACATGACAGAAGTTGTATCGGTCCAGATCATAGCATTTTAGATGACTTGTTTAATACAATAATAATAATAATTCTTGCATTTGGTACAGCGCCTTATCGCGTCTTCACAGAATATCCTTCAATGAATTGTCTGTGTTCTCTGACACTGAGAGCCAAGCGCTGGAATGGCATTGAATCGCGGGTTTACTGTGGCTTTTAGGTTTCACATCAACGTCAATGTGAAGGACAAATACCTCGAGGAGACAGTTCATGACCATCTCGTTTGTTTTGTCAGCTTCTGAGGAAGAAGGCAACCGGTGAAAACCTAAACATCTCAAGGTTAGAACAAGAATAACATCACATTTGTACAGCAGCTTTCACATCAGGAGGATGTCCCAAGGCACTGGGCAGTCAGACCTGAGCTGTGGGTTGGGATTGGGGAGGGGGGAAAGGAGGGCGATCAAAACCATGGTCGAAGTGGAGGGTTTTGAGATGGGTCTTCAAGAAGCCAATGGAGAGGGTGAGGCAGAGGGACTGTGGGATGGAGTACCAGCGAGTGGGGCAGAATGGCTGAAGGCCGCCCGCTGGGTACTTGCGGAAACTTTGCTCTATTAACTCGTACCGCCTTATTCTCTGTTGTACCTTTTCAATGTGATGCAGATAACATGCAGGTTATTAAAAAACACATACCTTGACCTTGATATAGCACTTTGCTGTTACCAAACCCTTCCTCAAAATACCCACCCGCAATCCCTCTAACCTTTCATACAACCACCCAATTCACAGCCCCCCTTTCCTTGCCCCTTGGGGTTAAGCAGAGCTTTGCTGGACTGATCGAGGTCAGCTTCCTAATACATTCCATATTTTGCTGAAAAGAAGTTCACACCTCTGAGATAAAGAGCAATTAGATCCTTCAGCACAGATGTAGGATCACTGGACCACAGAAATGAAAGGCTGTAGCTTCAGACATCTGCCGAACGTAAGTCTGAGAAACAAGCAGATCGAGAAAGGCTGCTTTGTATGTATGCGGATGACACCCAAATCTACCTTTCCTCCTCAACCCTCAACTCCACGACCACTGATGTCCTGACAGCTGTCTGACCGACATCGAGTCCTGGATGAGAGATAACTTCCTTCACCTCAACGTGCATAAAACTGAGGCCCTCCTGATTGGCTCACGTCAGCGCCTCCGCACCTCAGGCGTTGACACCATCAGCATCCAAGGCCGCACTCTCCACCTCTCAAAGCCGTCAGGAACCTCGGGGTTCTGTTCGACCTGAGCTGTCCTTTCTCCGTCATATCCGCGCCACAACAGGCACTGCCTTCCACACCTCCGAAACAGAGCCAGAATACGGCACAACCTCACCCCTCACGCGGCTGAAACCCTGGTCCACGCCTTTATCACCTCAAGGCTGGAATATGGGAACTCTCTCCTCGCGGCCTTCCCGCCACCTCCCTCCACACTGCAGGTCATTCAGTACTCTGCAGCCCGTGTACTGTCCCGCACCAGACACCGCGACCACATCACTCCCACCCTCGCTCCCCTCCACCGGCTCCCCATCCCCCAGAGGATCCAATTCAAGATCCTTATCCTCACCGACAAGGCCATTCGCGGCCTCGCTCCCTCCTACCTCTCCGACCTACTATCCCCCGACTTACCTGCCCGTACCCTCCGTTCCTCTGGCTCCGGTCTGCTCCACATCCCCCGCCCCAACCGCCCGACCATCGGTGGTCGGGCCTTCAGCCTCTCAGCCCCGAGGCTCTGGAACTCTATCCCCAGTGCCTTCACCGTCTCCTCCCTCTCCTCCTTCAAGGCCGGTCTCAAGACCTTTCTCTTTGACCGAGCCTTCAGCTCCCCTCTCGACTCTCTATCCACTCATCGCCCCCTCCCTTCCCTCCCCTCACCCTGAACGTCTCCCCCTTCCTCGCTTCCTCATTTCCCTCCCCTCACCCTGACCATTTGCCCATTGCTCGGGTCCTGAACCAACTGCACAGCGCTTCGGGACGTCCTCCGGACGTGAAAGGCGCTCTATAAATGGAATCTTGTTGTTGTTGTCGTGTTTGTGTGTGAGAGAGCAGTCAGTGTGTGTGTGTGTGAGAGAGAGCAGTCAGTGTATGTATGTGAGAGAGAGCAGTCAGTGTGTGTGTTTGTGTGAGCAGTCATTGTGTGTGTGAGCAGTCAGTGTGTGTGTGTGTGTGAGAGAGAGAGCAGTCAGTGTGTGTGTATGAGTAGTCAGTGTGTGTGAGGGCAGTTAGTGTGTATGAGAGAGAGAGAGCAGTCTGTGTGTGTGTGTGAGAGGGAGCAGTCAGTGTGCGTGTGTGTGTGTGTGAGAGAGAGAGAGAGAGCAGTCAGTGTTTGTGTGAGAGAGAGCAGTCAGTGTGTGTGAGAGAGCAGTCTGTGTGTATGTGAGATAGAGCAGTGAGTGTGTGTGTTTTTGAGAGAGCAGTCAGTGTGTGTGTGTGTGAGAGCAGTCAGTGTGCGTGTGAGGGCAGTCAGTGAGTGTGTGTTTGTGTGTGAGTGAGGGAGTAGTCAGTGTGTGTGTGAGAGAGAGCAGTCAGTGTGTGTGTGAAGGAGAGCAGTCAGTGTGTGTGGTGTGTGAGAGAGTAGTCAGTGTGTGTGAGGGAGAACAGTCAGTGTGTGTGTTTGTGAAAGAGCAGTCTGTGTGTGTGTGAGAGAGCAGTCGGTGTGTGTGTGTGTGTGCAGTCAGTGTGTGTGTGTGAGTGAGAGAGAGAGAGAAAGCAGTTAGTGTTTGTGTGAGAGAGAGCAGTCGGTGTGTGTGTGTGTGTGTGTGAGCAGTCAGTGTGTGTGTGTGAGATAGCAGTCAGTGTGTGTGTGTGTGAGAGAGCGAGAGAGAGAGAGAGCAGTCAGTCTGTGTGATTGTGAGAGAGCAGTCAGTGTGTGTGTGTGTGGGAGAGAGAGCAGTCAGTGTGTGTGTGTGTGTGAGGGCAGTCAGTATGTATTTGTGAGCTGTCAGTGTGTGTTTGTGTGATGGCAGTTTGAGTGTGTGTGTCTGTGTGAGAGAGAGCAGTCAGTGTGTATGTGTGTTTTTGAGAGAGCAGTCAGTGAGTGTGTTTTATGTGTGAGAGAGTCACTCAGTATGTTTGTGTCTGTGAGAGAGCAGTCAGTATGTGTGTGTATGTGTGAGAGAGCAGTCAGTGTGTGTGTGTGTGTGTGAGCAGTCAGTCTGTGTGTGTGTGAAGGCAGTCTGTGTGCGAGGGCAGTTTAATAATAATAATAATAATCATCCTTGCATTTGATATAGCTCTTTTCACGTCGGGAGGACGTCCCAAAGCGCTTCACAGAATATACTGTAAAGTGAATTGACTGTATATTTGTGGGCGAACGCGGCAGCTAATTGCGCACAGCAATGTCCCACAAACAGTCATGGATTGAAAATGACCAATTTATTATTGTTTTTGGTTTTGGAGGGATTATTATTAGGCTCTGTGTGGAGTAAGGAAACTTGCCCAAGGTTTCGCCCTGTGCCTGGAATTGAACTCAGGTCTCTCGCTTGCAAAGCGAGTGCTCTAACCACTGAGCTACAGGACTCCGATTTGTGTGTTTGTGTTTGAGGGCAGTTTGAGTGTGTATGTGTGTAAGAGTGCAGCCTGTGTGTGTGAGAGAGCAGTCAGTGAGTGAGTGTGTGTGTGTGAGTGAGAGAGCAGTCTGCGTGTGTGTTTGTGTGAGAGCAGTCAGTGAGTGTGTGTGTGTGTCTGTCTGTCTGTGTGCGTCTGCGTGTGTGTGTGGATCTGTCTGTGTGTGTGTCTGTTTGTGGGTCTGTCTGTGGGTCTGTGTGTGTGTGTGTGTCTGTCTGTGTGTGTCTGTCTGTGTCTGTGTGTGTGTCTGTGTGTGGTGTCTGTCTGTGTGTGTCTCTGTATGTATCAGTGTGTGTAAACTTGAGAGAGTGTGAGAGAGGTTAGTGTTGGTGACACTCTCAACTCTCTCTCACAATCTCTCTTTCACACACAAACTCTCTCTCTCTCACACTCTCTCATTTTCTCTCTCTCTCACTCTGATACTCTCTCTGTCACACTCTCTCACTCTCTGTCACCAACACTGACCGTCGTCTCCGCCGCCATCACCACCTCCCGCGGTTCCACAACGGCCATGTCATCCCCCCAGTCACCATCCACACACACACACACACACAGAGTGCAGACACACACACACAGACCCACAGACAGACATCAGCTCAGAGTACAGACCGGTACAGGAACATATCATCTGTTAACGTGACACAATATCGCACTACATCGGCGGACACCGGGTTGCGTTTTGCACAAAACGCTGATATTTGCACTTATTGCTTCACTGCGGAGAGGTTTGACAAACGGTTAAATATTTGAGGCAAACGGGCAGCGACTTGTCCAACCGGTTCCATTTATGTTTTTCCAAGAAGCGCCGCTCCCTATAGTCAGAATCAAATGTCAGGAGTGTCTCAGACGGAATGCGGCTCAGGGGCTGAACCTGTCTGTCACACAGGTGTGAGCGTCTCTCACAAACCTTCCCATAACCAGCCATTGGGCACATTACCAGCAGGTTGGTGCTGGTGGGTGGGAGAGATCACCGAGTGCTGCTGATTGGGGACCAGGAGAGAACTGGTTGAAGGAGCTGGTGGTTTCCAGTCACTGGGGAGCAGCTCAGCGCGTCCCTGTGATCACTGGTGAGCAAATATCTGCAAAAATCTTCAGTTCTTCCTCTTCTCCATCTGATAATCTGTAAAAATGTTTCTCAATTTGGTGTCTGATGTTATGCGTCTTCTCCAGGCAGAGTGGACAGGGGAGTGGGGGCGCCTCATTCAAACGCCCTCCGTGGGGGTGAGGGGAGTGAGTGGGCGGGTTATCCGAAGGGCTGAACCGGCTCCGAGGTGGAAAGGTTTGGCTGCAGGTTATCGGAATCGAGGCGTCCTCCCGTAACCGACTCTGCTCTGTTTCCTGAGCCGGTGGCGGGTCCGTGGTATTCCAGGGCACTGCTGATAGCAGCACAGCCCAGTCCGGCTCATCGACAGCACCCGAAGGGCAGACCAGACACTGGGGCAGATATCCTCCTAGTCGGCTCCTATTAACCCTGTAAAAAAGTCCTAACTTGTACGGTGTTCCCAGCTGGAAAAGAAATAGGAAAGCTCGCCGGGCAGCAATATCAATTGCGAGCCATGGGGTTTTCGCTGATTAGATTCCAGCAGTTACTCCAACGCATGCTCTCGGGTGCCCAAACTTTGGCTCTTGCCATTCCTTGCCTTTACTCTCCGGAACAGAGTGATTAGGATGGAATTCAAGATCCTCATCCTCACCGACAAGGCCATTCACGGCCTCGCTCCCTCCTACCTCTCCGACCTACTCTTCCCCTACTTAGCTGCCCGTACCCTCCGTTCCTCTGGCTCCGGTCTGCTCCACATCCCCCGCCCCAACCGCCCTACCATCGGTGGCCGAGCCTTCAGCTCCCCTCTCGACTCTCTACCTCCTCCTCGCTCCCTCCCTTCCCTCCCCTCACCCTGACCATTTCCCCCAATGCTCGGGTCCCGACCCAACTGTCCAGCGCCTTGGGACATCCTCCCGACGTGAAAGGCGCTCTATAAATGAGATCTTGTTGTATCTTGTTGTGTGATGCATCACTCCAGCGGGAGTGAGAGTGCACATTCCATTAGAACAATCTCTCTCTGGAAATTCCCTGTGTAGGTGGGATGCAGAAAATTCCCAGTTTGGTTTGGAGACTGATGCTTTGTGCTGGATTTCCCTCTGTGAAAGTTTTATCACAGCCATATTACGATATATAAAACTCTTCCGGTGAGATCCTGACATGGAGAAGCAGAGCTTGAACCTGCAAGTTTACTGATCCTCGCGTTTGTTATAGCGACTCATCGCATGTTCAAGACGTCTCCAAGCGCTTCAACGGATGCACTGTAAAGTGCCGTGACTGTGTGACCCACATGCAAGTCCCTGACGAGAGAGAGAGATTGGACTGATTCCTTCTCCACAGCCCCAGAACAATAAGGCTGATCGCCTCTCCTCCACCACCTGAGGGTTCCTTGTCTGAAAGCATCATTGCCGTGTGTCAAATTCTCCCAATCCCAACCCCTAACTAATCACACTGTCGACTCTCACCCAAATTAGCACCACTCCGCCCGCTCTTACCCCAACTAGTCCCACTACATCAATCTAACCCCAACCGATCCCATTCCCAGACATTTACCCCAGCTAGTACCACTCACTTACCTAACTGGGGGGTCTTACTCTAACTCACCACGTTTATCGCTACTCGTCCCCCCCAGCCCCCGCCCATCCCTCTGAGCTTAGTGTGTCCCATTGCCCCGCTATTAAGATGGTGACTGAAGGTCAAAGGAGACAAAGAGGGAATGAGGCGAAGGCAATGTGAGGCGCAGTTCCAGAGGTGGGAGCAGAAAAAAACAAAACATAGATTTCTTATTTCTTTGATTATCGGTAGATTGCTCTAAAGCTCAACAGCTCTGTCAGTAAACACGAAACAGAATGACTTGTCTGACTGGTTGGGGATGTATTTCTGAGAATCGCCGCTCTCTGTGGTGAGAGTCAAATTTCAGGAATGTTTGAGATCATAAACAGCCCGAGAGCTGCCGCTTGTCTGTACAGCAGAAGGGAACTCACAGGAGGGAATAGAACATAAAACAAAGAAACAGAACTAACAGCAGAAGACAGAAAATTAACCCACAGTTTTTCTGATGCGTTGTATGTCGCGGTGGTGAACACTTATATCAGATTTTGATTCCTGTATCGCCTGGCGACCAGGTGTTTGCTCATGTGTCAAGTACAGCTCAACAGGTAAAGTGTGAGCAGATTCATGTTGGAATACATGACCATATCACCATACTTTATTGAATATTTATAATCGCTGTTGCTGAAACCATCTCAATACTATTGCAGTTTTAAAATCCACATCAGCAAATTATACAGGTAGGGACTTGTCAGATGGTTGGAGGTGATTTAGCGAGAAGCGCCGCTCCCTTTAGAGTCAGGTTTCAGGAAGGGGGGGTGCGTTGTTGGGGGAGGTTAAGTGGAAACTCGTTGAAGCTAAACTCACTAAAGTAGCAACAACAACAACTTGGATGTATATAGCGCCCTCCGCGCCGGACGGCGTCTCAGAGCGCTTCACAGTAACAGATCCAGGGACCGAGCCAGGGGGAGGGGGGGGACGAAAAGAAAGGTCTTCAGCAGAGACCTGAAAATAGGAAGAGAAGGGGAGGGAGTGAGGAAGGGAGTTCCAGAGCCTCGGGACATCGTGGCTGAAGGCACGGCCGCCGAGGGTGGAGCGGACCTGTACGGCAATGGAATGGATAATCGAGCCAACCCTCTCTGGTGGTCTCTAGTCCGGTTTCTGGGCCGAGGGTGTCCGCAGTTTTCCACGGCAGTGATGATGGCAGCACAGCCCAGCCTGGCTCATCAGCAACACTTATTAGGGCAGACCAGTCACTACACCCACTCAGCTCCCGTTAACTATGTAAACCAGTGTCAGACACCCACGTGACCCAAACTTATCCGAAAGTCATTTCTCAGCCCAAATATGGTAAGGTAGGAATTTCATGCAGAGACTAAGGACTTGACCCTGTCTTCAAACTGCAGCTCCTGCACTTCCCTGGAGATTGTACAGTGCTCCCTGGGGCTGGAGGACAAGCTCAGTCCTGCTCCCTGGACCAGCATCAAATCCCTGGATACCGAGTGTCTGCTTGTCTGAACAACTCCGTGTCATTGTGTGGATCACCCAGAGAGTTGGGGAGGCAAAACATGATCTAACTTCAGATTTAAATTGCAACCCAGCTTCAAGCGTCTGGAATGCTTCCCTTGCTGACTGTTATTATACAAATGCATTTGTTGCTATATACAGGGAAATTCACTTTACAGTGGAGGGTTTTGAGACGACCCGCAGACACGATAAGTCGCTGAATCAAATATAAGGACAACTATCTTATTATTTATTATTAACTTTCTCTCCACTGCAAAACTGACAAGTAATGCAGAGCAGCATTAACAGCTTCCGGTTTTTGGTCAAGGGGAACCCCTCAGAGCTTCAGATCCACCGTCACTGTTCCAAAAAACGAGAAGATGGGATTTCCTCCCCACATCCCCAATCCTCCAAACATGACATGTTCATCACCTCCCTTTTGTTGGAGACTCTATTTCTCATTATATCCCAAGATTCTCAGCCTCTTCTCCAAATCCCTTCTCACCCAAGGGCCTCCCTAAATCTGGAAGTAACTCCTGCGCCTCTCTCTCTCCTGATCTGCCCTCCACTCAGGCATCTCAACATCAGGTCCATCTGCAAGAACGACCTGGTATTAGGTCCAGGAGTGAGAGCAGGGTATACATTAACAGCCAATGTTTACATTCAAAGTAATGAGTGATTTTACTGAAATGTCCTAAACTAATGAAGTCTCAAATAATCCAGAAATCTGCTATAAAGATATCAGAAGATCTACAACTAGAGGAAAGAGAACAGAATCTTTACATTAAAGTCTTTTTGCAGTGTGGTAACTTGGTAAAACTGTTTGTCTGTCCGTGGGACAGTTTGGTGGGGTATGCTGACATGGTTCACAATTAGAATCTGGAAACATCGTCACTTTACAACCCTACAACCTATCTCCCAAATGCACCTCCCTAACCATTGGAGATCAGGATTGAGGAATATAACAAGGGATTCCTGACACTGGGAAGCGAAGAAAAATGAGGCGTCAATAACTGCAGTGCCTTGTTCAATGGTAGTGAGTATCATTTACACAGTGAACATAAAGCTCCGTATATATATATATACACAATTCCTTATCATGTTGTCCAAAAATCTGAAAGCTTTGCAGGATTTTACTCCGATGTGCAATGGCAGTGTATTTGTCGGTGAACAGCCAACTCCAGCCGTTGTGTGCGGTTTCGGGAAGCAGAAGGTCGAAGAGCAGGGTCTTGAGACATACTCTGAAGGAGGCAAGGGATGGAATGAGGCGAAGGGACTGTGATGGTTTCCAAAGGTGGGGGCAGAAAAGAGAATGGATTTTGTATTTATTTCACTCCCGGTAGATTATTGTAAATTTGCACATCTATGTCAGCAAACAAAATACACTGCGAGTTGTCAGACTGGTTGGATATACATTTCTGGGAATCGCCGCTCCCTGTGGTAAGAGTCAAATTTCAGAATTTTTTCGGAGCATAAACAGCCTGAGAGCTGCAGCTTTCCTGTACAGCAACAGCGAACCCACAAGAGGGAAGAGAAGGGCAAAACGGTAGAAATAAGATTAACAAAGTAAGGAAAATGTAACAGATAGAAAACTAATGCATAGTTTTTCTGAAGAACTCTGTTTAGCGGTGGTTAATAATTATATCAGTTTGTGAGTCCTGTATACCCTGGAGACCAGGTGTTTGCTCATGTGGTAAGTACAGGTCAGCAGGTAAACTTTTAACAGGTTCATGTTGGGATAGATGACCATATCACCGCACTTTGCTGAATACTTTAATCTGTGTGGCTGAAACCATTTCAATTCTATGGAAGTTTTAAAATCTCGATCAGCGAATTATACACTTTGACTTGTCAGATGGTTGGCGGTGATTTTGTGAGAGTCGCCGCTCCCAATAGTGAGTGTCAGGTTTCAGAAAGGTTTCAGATGACAAACAGCCTGAGAGCTGCTGTAGGAGGGCCAGGCAGCGGGTGATTCTGAAGGCTGAGGGGAGAGGAGTTAGAATATATATTCCTGGGCGGTGGGGTGTTAGAATACACTCTTTTTGTATACTGCTAGAATCATAGTAGATGTTGTGAATGGGTTAACTTTTAGTTAAGTGTGGGGGGCAACTGGACTGACAGTCATGGCATAGGACACATCTGGTTTTCTCTGTTTTTGAAAGAATAACAGGACAGCTTTGGAAAAAGGGCAGGGGGTCACCTCTTATCAATAAATGACAACACGCCCACAGAGATAACGGTCCAAGGTATCGGTCGACACAGGATCTCGACTGAACAATAATTCGCTAGATTCTGACAGGGCCAAGCGACAGAAGGCAACCCTCAAGAATAGCAACTAATGAGCAAGTTGCTTAAACTGGAGGACTTTGGTACCATCCCGGGATACTGATAAGACATAACCAGTCACTTTAAAGGAAAGTACTAATGATCGCACACCACAAAATAATGAGCAGCCGATACAGCCCTAAACTGATCAGTCCTCTATGTTAGACGGTTAGATCAAATAACAGGGGTCTTAAGTACAATGTTATGTGCGTTGAGGCACGTACACCCCATGAGGTGTTCAAGTGAATCCAGCATGATTTCGACCAAATGATCTGATGTCCGCACCATGAATGGACGAGCTTCGGTATAAGAGTTCCGTTAACTTTGTGAACGGGGCCGTCCCGAGTCGTGGAGACGAGGGTACGGGAGATGGGGCCGTCCCGGGTCATTGAGACAAGGATACGGGTGATGGGGGCCATCCCGGGTCGCGGAGACAAGTGTACGGGAGATGGAAGACTGAGAACTAGAAATATTAAGACTGAGGATATCAGAGAGAATCACGGTGATGGGTTAGTACATGTGCCTGATACCCGACAACCAAATCACATACTACAGCATCGAGTGGAGCGAGAGGATGATGGTAAAACAATAGAACATCACATTTGTATAGCGCCATTCATTTCGGGAGGAATTAATGATAGAGATATGGAGACCGGTGTAGGATCGCAAACAAGCTGCAGTTTTGTATGGTCTGCAGTTTGAGTAGAGAGCGTGTTTGATTGCCATTGAGTAAGGGATTCATATAGTCTGGCCCCAATATAATAAAGATGTATATATGTTTTTGGACACACCAGGGGAAGGAGGTGTGAGACGTGCAGCTGCAGGTAAGCAATATTATAGAGGTGAGCGAAAGCCAAGCGTGAGTGAGAGACAAGTTACACGGATTAAAGGACAATTAAGGTGGAATAAGACAATGATCTTCTCATTGGCACAAAAACGTGAATTTAGCTTTGATATAGATTGATGCCGTCAATACCTAGGGTGAGTAAATACTGTCAGGACTCAAACAGGCTGCATTCAACTGAAGATAGACGGAGATCAATCAGCATTTGATGCCTGACAGTGTGTGCTTGTCAGTGCTAGTGTCATGGGGCTGAGTTGAAGTATGTGTATGTCGGCGTTGGTGGCGTGGGGCTGAGTTGATGAAGTGTCTGTGTGTGTCAGTGTTGTGACTTGGGGGTTAGGTTTGGAAGTATATGTGTGTCATTGTTGGTGACATGGAGCTGAGCTGGTTGCGTGTGTGCATCAGTGTTGGTGAGGGCAACATGGAGCTGAGCTTGTGGAATGTGTTGGTGTCAATTTTGGTGAGGGCACCCTGGTGCTGATCTGGTGAAGTATGTGTGGGTCAGTGTTATTGAGGACACTATGGGGCTTTGCTGGTGAAGAGTGTGTCAGTGTCTGTGGCATGGGGCTGAGTTGGGGAATTGGATGTGTCAGACTTGGTTACATGGGGCTGAGCTAGAGAAGTCTGCGTGTGTCAGTGTTGGTGGCATAGGGCTGAGCTGGTAAATTGTGTGTGTGTCAGTATTGGTGGCAAGATGCTGGGTTGTAGATGTGTATCAGTGTTGATGACGTGGTGCTCAGTCGGGGAAGTATGTGATGGTGGCATGGGGCTGATTTGGGGATGTGTGAGGGTCAGTCTTGGTGAGGACGCCATGGGGCTGATCTGGAGAAGTGTGTGTTTTTGTCACTATTGGTGGCATGGAGCTGGGCTGGGCAAGCGTGAATGCCAGGATAAACCCGGGAAAGATTGTTAAAGCAAGGCCAGTCACACTGACGTCATTGGGATGGAAACGTCTGGAGAATATAATCCGGGATAACATAAAATTTCACTCAATAAAATATAGGTTAATAAAAGACAGTCAACATTGGTTTACTGAAGACAAATCGGGCCTGAAGAACCCGATAGAGCCGTTTGATGAAGGATTGGAGAGTATCGATGAAGGTAGTGCAGTTGATGTTGTTTATATGGATTCTCAAAAGGTGTTCGGTAAAGTGCCACATAAGAAAATGGTAAGCAAACTGGAACCCCACGGTATCAAATGCAGAGAAGTAGCATTGATACAGAACTGGTTGGGAGACAGAAAGCTGAGAGAGATGTGTTCACCGGTATCCCCCATGGGTCGCTATTGGATCCACTGCTGTTTCTGATCTACATAAATAACCTGGACTTTGGTGTAGAAGTACAATTTCCAAATTTCCAGTTGAGACTTAGCTAGGAAAGGTAGCAAACAGTGAGGAGGATCGTAGCATAATGTAAGGGGTACAGAGAGACTGGTCAAATGGGCAGACACGTGACGTATACATCTTACTGTGGAGAAATGTGAAGTAAACATTTTAGGAAGAAGAATGAGGAGGGGCAATATAAAATAGATGGAAGAATTTTAAAGGGGGTGAAGGAAAAAAGAGACTGGGGTTCATATAAGTAAATCTTTCAAGGTGGCAGGACAGGTATATAATGCTGTTAAGAAAGCATACAGGATACTAGGCTTTATAAATAGGGGCATAGTATACAAAAGTCAAGAAGTGATGATGAACATTTATAAAACAATGGCTGGGCCTCAGCTAGAGATTGTGAAGAGTAATGAGCACCACATTTTAGGAAGGATGTCAATGGATTGGAGAGGGTGCAAAGGAGATTTACAGCAGGAGACCAGGAATGAGGGATTTCAGTTATCAGGAGAGGCTACAGAAGCTAGGATTATTCTCCTTGGAGCACAGAAGGTTTAGGGGAGACTTAATAGAAGTTTTCAAAATGATGAAATGATTCGATAGGGTGAACAAGGAGAAACAATTTCCACTGGTGGGTGGGTCGGTAACCGGAGGACAACGATTTAAAATAGTTGTTGAAAGAAGCAGCGGGGAGGGGAGGAGAATTTTTTTCGCATCTGGAATACATTGTCTGAAAGGGTGGTAGAAGCCGATTCTAGAGAAGAAGCAGAGAGAAGTAGATAATTATTTGGGGAAGGGAAATTTGCATGGCTATGGGGAGAAAGCGGGGGAGTGGCTTTAATTTGGGTAGCTCTTTTCAAAGACGAAATTGTCTGTATGGCCTCCTTCTGTTTCCTATGATTCTGTAAAATTGGCTGCTATATTCACCTACAAAATACAGATTCACTATAATTCGCCATAAGCGGGGAAGTGTTTTGAGACATCTTCCTAACTTGAAAGAAAACAAATGCAAGAAACGTCAGTACATTTCCACCTAACTACAATTGAGTAAGACACCTGAATATACTTAATTGCTGAATTTATCATGACGATACTCTTGCAATTTATTTCGTTGTAGGATAAATGTTAATAATGAGGAAGAAGGACAGTCCATTAGAAATGTTAACCGTGTGTTTTTGCCTGAGAGATCACGTCTGGATTCCCTGTTAGTCTTGCAACTGTTAAAAACGCTCAGCACCTGTCGCAAATCTTACAAACTAGGCTGCACTTAGCAGCAATTGGGGGGGATTTTTGAATATTGTTGGGAAAGGGGAAATATATTTCTGAAACACAGAACCACGGGAAAACAGATAATTCGATTAAATGGTCACCATCACCACTACTAAGCATGTGTACATCTGGCAGGACTGAAACAGCGACCACATCTGGTGTTGCCCAACTACATTGTGAATCGGTTCCACCACTTTGGGAGATTGGAGTGAGATGGCCTCCACGGAGACTGAACCAAGTGCCAGTGCAGAGGGCGATGGAATGACCCGTGGTGTGGATCAAGCCCCCTGCAAAACACCAACAGGTAATGGCTTTCCTTTAACTGAATTTAAGGAAAATTTCAAAGAGATGATAATGAAAAAATGTAATGTGTTTATTAAGTACTTTTAAACAAAAGCAGGTACATTTATCTCACACACGTTGGAAACGAAAGTTCAGTCAATTTTTATTGGGGTTGAGGAAATTCCTAATTTGTGAAATGGAAGATCAGGGACATGTTGGACGGTTCATGAACCAATCGCTGATAATGACAGATCATACAGACTGACCCGTGGCAGGTTTTGCAGTGAAAATACATCCAACCTGACACATGGGCAGGGCTTGCAGTGACATACCAGCCTGCCCGGAACATGGTTAGGTCTTGTTGTGGAAAATCATTCCTGGGGCATAGTATGCTTCCAAATCAGTTCCTTCTAAAGTTGCCAGCCACAGCCATTATGTGTAAAGTGAACACAGCCCACATGTATGATAGACAAATCTACTTCACCGCTTCCTCCTTCTCCTCCAGCTGCAACTCCCAGTCCTCTAATGCTTTGTCAGTTTGTGTGACGGGCATTAAGGCGTGGATGAGTGCAAACTTCCTGCAGCTGAACGTCAGCAAGATCCATCCATCCTTCCAAGCCATACACTTTGGCTCCCGTCAACATCTTCTTTCATGTGGCTCCGAACACCTCAACCTCCTCGGGCTCTCCCACAAACACACCCTACCCGTGCGCAAACTAGGTGTCAGGTTCTCTCCGTAGCCTTCTTTTCTCCCCCACATTCGTTCCCTGACCAGGACAGTTTGTTTTTTCACCTCTGTCACATTAGTGGAGTCCTGTAGCTCAGTGGTTAGAGCACTCGCTTTCCAACTGAGAGACATGAGTTCAATTTCAGGCAGGGCGAAATCTTGGGCAAGTTTCCTTACTCCACACGCCTAATAATAATCCCTCAAAAAAAAACAATAATAAAAAAAATTGGTCATTTTCAATTTACGACTATTTGTGGGACATTGCTGTGCGCAATTGGCTGCCGCGTTCGCCCACAAATATACAGTCAATTCACTTTACAGTGTGTTCTGTGAAGCGCTTTGGGACGTCCTCCCGACGTGAAAAGCGCTATATCAAATGCAAGGATTATTATTATTATTATTATTATTACCCGCCTCTGTTCGTACCTCACATCCGCAGCAGCCCAAACCCTCATCCACGCCTCTGCCACTTCTCAGCTGGACATTTCGAATGCCCTCCCTCCTGGTCTCCTTAGTTCCACCATCAACATTATTTAATTATCTCCGCTATTCGGATGCCAAACCACAGAAAGGGAAGGATCCAAATCACTTCAGTCCTTGCCAGGCTGCACTAGATCCCAATTTCCGAAAGGATCGACTTTCAAATCCTTTTCCTCGTTTTCAAACCCTGTATGTCTTGCACCTCCCTACATTTCCGACTTGCTCAACCCCCACTCCACCACCGCCCTCCACAAGCTGCAGGTCATTCAGAACTCTGCAGCTCGTGTACTGTCCCGCACCAGGCTTCGGGACCACATCACTCCTACCCTCGCTCGCCTCCACTGGCTCCCCATCCCCCAGAGGATTGATTTCAAGATCCTCATCCTCACCTACAAGGCCATTCACGGCCTTGCTCCCTCCTACCTCTCCAACCTACTATCCCCCTACCTACCTGCCCGTACCCTCCGTTCCTCTGGCTCCGGTCTGCTCCACGTCCCCCGCCCCAACCGCCCTACTATCGGTGGTCGGGCCTTCAGCCTCTCAGCCCCGAGGCTCTGGAACTCCATCCCCCAGTGCCTTCGCCTTGCTTCCTCCCTTTCCTCCTTCAAGGCCGGTCTCAAAACCTTTCTCTTTGACCGAGCCTTCAGCTCCCCTCTCGACTCTCTTCCTCCTCCTCGCTCCCTCCCTTCCCTCCCCTCACCCTGACCATTTCCCCCCTCCTCTCTCCCTCCCTTCCCTCCCCTCACCCTGACCATTTCCCCCCTGCTCGGGTCATGACCCAACTGTGCAGCGCCTTGGGACGTCCTCCTGACGTGAAAGGCGCTCTATAAATGGAATCTTGTTGTTGTTGTTGTTGCTGCCTAGAGAGAATAGGGGCTTTAACCTGCAAACTTCTGACTATGGTATGCATGTGTTCAACTTAATAGATCAATGAGTGATGTTCAAAATTAGGAAGGGTTTTGATAGAGTAGAGCGGAATAAACTCTTTCCTCTGGAGGGTAGATTGGTAACCAGCGGATTTAAAATAAAGATCCAGTGAGGATACTTGCAGTGGATTGTCAGGCTGGTTTATGAGGTCAAAATCCTTATGTGGAAATTGAACCACAACCCTCTGTCTCAGGGGCGAGAGTCATACCAACTGAGCCAGTCTGACACGTCTCTGATATCAGCTACTAAATGGTGTTTATGACCAACTGAGGTCTGTTTATTCAGGGCTTTTTTTTACGATCAACATAGTAATATTTTCCGAAACATGTTCCGAGGAAAAAGAGTAAAACAATATCTGACTAATGTTTTTATTGGTTGCTAGCAGGTACAAATACCTTATTCACTGAGACCCTGACCCTGTATGATGATTACCAGCTGCACAGACTGACTAAGTTCTACCGGGACAGATTGGAACAGGCCATTGAGGAAGGCGTGGAGGACATCAGCTCAAGGCTCAGACAGAAGGAATGTTTCAGTCCGCAGGAGCACAAAGTAGGTTTGAGACAGAATGCATCATTTTCCTTTCATTTGTTAAAGTCTCACCAAGTCAGTGCTTGCCTGCACGGCTCATGTGCTGCTTTTTTCAGAAAATCAACAATAGCAATCAAACAGCATATGCAAAAGCATAAGCCAAAGCATTTTATGTTAAAATACAGGACATGCACCATATGTGTGTCGTGGATCAGTACAGCGCAGTGTAAGAGGTGTCTATACGACCAAAAAACTGAGAACAGAAACTTGCGTTTATTTAACGCCGTTCGCGTGGCGAGGAAGTCACAAGGCACTGGACAGTGAAGTTAGAACCCGAGCTGGATTTGGGAAGTGTCGGGGAGGTCAGATGATGAAAGGCGTGGTCACAGAGGAAAGCAGTTTGTGGATGAAAGAGGAAGCAAGTCCATCAAATCCGTCAATGGAGCTGGGCATTGCTGATCACTGTCACTGTTCATGTTTCACACATTAATACATTAATGCTCACTCTGTGCAGAAAGTCACTGAACTCACACACAGTGGGAAGAGGAGACAAAGCTCCAAATTTCTTCTGAACCTGGTGATGGGGAAAGGTTCTGAGGCCCGGAGAGTGATGTGGGAATCTTTTGTGAAAATGAGGCCCACTTTGCCCAAACTGAACAAAATCATGACGGAAATACAGCAACAAGGTAACGTGTGGTGTTACTCTGTGCCTCCATTCACATATTACTGATACACTATCCCTTCAATTTAATAATATTAACTCTATTCAAACAGGTGCCAGTCTAGTGGATGAAGTGACCATTGTCCGAAGTGTATCAGATGTCTCCAGTGATCTGAAAGGTATGTGACAGTGACAAGATACAAACCAGTCAATCACTTCTGAAATACACAGTTTGGCAGTTTACCATTTACTGATGATATCCAGAAAATACGAACGAGGGGAGGGGGGATGTGGGAGGAGGGAGCGAAGATTGCTCTGGAGAGAGGAGTATGTTGGGGAGAGGGGTGTATGGTGGGCAGAGAGTATTATGGAGTGGGGAGAGGGGACTATGGAGTGGGGAAGGGAGTATAGAGTTGGGTAGGAGAGCATGGAGGGGAGAGGGGAGCATGGAGGAGACAGGTAAACATGCACGGGAGAGGGGAGCATGGAGTATTCAGGTAAGCTTGCAGGGGAGAGGGGAGCATAAAAGAGGGTGTGGAGCCGAGAGGGGAACATGGAGGGGAACACGGAGAGTAGAAGGGAGCATAGAGGGATGAAAAGAGCACGGAGGGGACCATTGAGGGGAGCATGGAATTGCGAGGGGAGCAGGGGGGGGAGCATGGAGGGCAGCATGGAGGGGAGCATGGAGGAGGAAAGAGAGGTGAATATGAACGGGAGAGGCGGTATGCAGTGGACTGGAGAAGGGGAATATAGAAGCGAGACAGTATCATAGAGGCGATAGGGATTATGGAGGAGAGAGGGGATTATGGATAAAGAGTGTATTATGGAGGGGTGAGCGACGTATGGAGGGGAGAGGGGCGTACGAAGGGGAGAGGGGCGTACGAAGGGGAGAGGGGCGTACGAAGGGGAGAGAGGCGTACGAAGGGGAGAGGGGCGTACGAAGGGGAGAGGGGCGTACGAAGGGGAGAGAGGCGTACGAAGGGGAGAGGGGCGTATCGATTGGAGCGGGGCGCATCGATTGGAGAGGCGCATATGGAGGGGAGAGGCGCGTATGGAGGGGTGAGTCGCGTATGGGGTGGAGAGGCGCGTATGAAGGGGAGAGGCGCGTATGGAGGGGAGAGGGGCGTATGGAGGGGAGAGGGGCGTATGGAGGGGCGTATGGAGGGGAGAGGGGAGTATGGAGGGGAGAGGTGCGTATGGAGGGGAGAGGGGCGTATGGAGGGGAGAGGTGCGTATGGAGGGGAGAGGTGCGTATGGAGGGGAGAGGGGCCTATGGAGGGGAGTGGGGCGTATGGAGGGGAGAGGGGCGTAAGGATGGCGTGGTTAGCATGGAGGGGAGAGGGGATTATGGAGGGGAGAGCGAAGTGTGGACGGGAGAGCGAAGTGTGGACGGGAGAGCGAAGTGTGGACGGGAGAGCGAAGTGTGGACGGGAGAGTGAAGTGTGGACGGGAGAGCGAAGTATGGACAGGTGAGGGGAGTATGAACGGGTGAGTGGAGTATGGACGGGAGAGGGGAGTATGGACGGGAGAGTGGAGTATGGCGTGGAGAGCGGTGTACGGAGGGGAGAGCGGTGTATGGAGGGGAGAGCGTGTATTGAGGGGAGAGAGGATTATGGCGATGAGAGGGTAGTATGGAAGGAAGTGAGGAGCATGGAGGGGAGAGGAGGTTATGGAGGGAATAGGAGAGTATCGAGGCGAGAGGGGTGTATAGAGGGGAGTATGGAGGGGAGAGGGGATTATAGAGGGGAGAGGGGAGTATGGAGTCGAGAGGAGAGTATGGAGTCGATAGGAGAGTATGGAGGCGAGAGGGGAGTATGTAGGTGACAGGGGAGTATGGAGGGAAGAGGGGAGTATGGAGGGGAGAAAGGAGTATGGAGCGGTGTATGCAGGGGAAAAGTGAACATGGAGGGGAGAAGGGAGTATGGAGGTGAGAAGTATGAGGGAGGGATAGTAGGCAGCCGAAGGAAGATGGGAGAAGGGAGATGAGGAGTGAGGGGAATGATCCTTATTTAATTCTTAAATTATTTCAGCAAGTATTACTTTGGAATGATCTTTCCTACAAGAAGTCACACATTCATCATATAATGCCCTGAATATCTACCATGTTTTCAATGTTCTGACGTCTGTTCAAATCCAGACAGGGCGAAACCTTGGGCAAGTTTCCTTACTCCACACGCCTAATAATAATCCCTCCAAGAAAACAAAAAAAAGACAATAATTTGGTCATTTTCAATCTTTACAGTATATTCTGTGAAGCACTTTAGGACGTCTAGCAGTCGTGAAAAGCGTTATATCAAATCAAGTATTATTGCTATTATTACTATTATTAATATAATTCAGATTGTTTACTCCCTGTTTCTTCAGCTCAGTTTGTGTTCCTCTTGTCTCGCAATCAGAGTTATGGGTTTCAGTTCACAATATATAAATACGGAAATCAGAGTGGCATATAGCAAAAACAACGTGGTTATAGTGGGAGATTTTGTTTTTCACGTAGACTGGGAAAAGCAGGACACCTCAAGTAGTAACGACGTAAAAGGCACTCTGTAAAAGTAGTTTTGTTCTTGTTGTTGCGTTCAGTTTTGGGCACCACACCACAAGAAAGATATATTAGCTTCGGAAGGGCTGCAGCGCTGATTCACCAGAATCTTATTAGGCCAAAAAGGGTAAAGTTACGAGAAAGGCTGCTTAAACTTGGATTGTACTCCCTCGAGTTTGGAAGATTGAGGGGTGATTTGGTGGAGGTTTTTAGGGCGATAAAGGGATTTGATAGGGAAGATGCAGAAAGCTATTTCCTGGTTTCGGGGAACGCAAATCAAGGGAGGATATTCTTACAAGTAGAACCAGACCATTTAAGAGTGAATGTAGGAAGCATTTTTTTCCCTCAAAGGGTGTTAGAAATCTGGAACTCTCTCCCCCAAAAGGTCATGGATGCTGGATCCATCCACTCCGTCAAGAAAGAGACTGGCAGATTTTTGGTAGGTCGGGGTATTAAAGGAAACGGGGAAATAGCAGGAAATTTGATTTGAAATTCCAGTAAAGATATAGATCAGCCATGATCTAATTAAATGGCGGAACAGGCTCGATGGCTGAATGGCCTACTCCTGTCCCTATGTTCCTGAACATCAACAGGATATATTGACACTCCAGTGCCATTCTGGGTTGTGCTGCATTGAAGTCGATGCCGTCATTTGGACATTAAACTGAGGTCCTGTCTGCTTATTCGGGTGGATATTAAAGATCCAGCGGCACTATTTGAAAACAGAATGGAATTTCTCTCTCCCGGATTCCTGGCCAACAATCCCTCAAATAAACATAGTCACTCACTACTTGTGGCTGCTGTCGCTTTTCGCAATGTGGCTGCTGCATCTGCTCAAGAAACACAATCACTACACTTTAAAGTAATTCGTATGCACCGCTTTAGAATGCAATCATTCTTTCAAAGCCCCTTAACTGAAACTAAATGTCATTTTTTAATAATGCTAAATAATTTCTCAATTTACTCTCCAATTGATTATTGTTCCACATGAAGCCATTCAGCAATTGCACAAGGAGACGTTAAAGAAACAAACTGAGAACCTGGAAGTGAAGACCATCCTGATAAAGGAGAAGGTGAAGAAGTTTCAGTTGGTTGATCGCTACACAGAGCTAACAATCATTTCTGATGTACGTGACCGGGATCTGGTAGAACATGAGCTGCTGGCGAGAGGCAGAGACCACGAGGAGTGGAGACAGAAGCAGCTCCGGGGAGAGCTGGAAAAAATCCGAATTGATAAACTGTTCCACAGCAGCTTCTCTGGAGGAGGTTTATTTTCCTTGTTGAGAAAATTCTACAAGAGAAGCGGATCTGGTAATTTCACAGGGACTTCCACAGTAGTGAGTGGAGTGGCGGGGATTGGAAAAACAACCATGGTGCAAAAGATTGTCCATGACTGGGCCACAGGCAAAATCTATCCTCACTTTCACTTTGTTTTTATTTTTAAATTCCGAGACCTAAACAGACTAAACTGCAGAATTACTCTGACCCTCCTGATTCTGGATGAGTATCCTTACCTCAGGCGTGTTCTAGATGAGCTGTGGGAACACCCAGAGACATTGCTATTTATATTTGATGGCTTGGATGAATTCAGAGGAAGGATTGATTTCGTTGAGAATCATAGAGACACAGAGCCTCAGAACAGGTGTACAGACCCTGGTTTCTGGTGTGAGGTGTCTGATATTGTGTGCAGTTTAATACAGAGAAAGCTGCTGCCAGGCTGCTCAGTGCTGGTGACCAGCCGCCCCACTGCATTACATTTACTGGCAAAGGCTCAGGTCAGTGTCTGGGCTGAAATCCTGGGATTTGTGGGTGAAGAGAGAAAGGAATATTTTCACAAGTTCTTTGAAGATCAGGAGGTGGCAGCTGCTGTTTACAGCCACGTGGAGGAGAACGAGCTCCTGTTAACCATGTGCTATAACCCGTCCTACTGCTGGATCCTCGCTCTGTCACTGGGTCCCTTCTTTACACGCAAACACAGCAACAAACAGCGAGTTCCCAAGACAGTCACACAACTCTTCTCCTATTATATTTATAACATACTATCACATCACAGTGTCAAGATGGAAAACCCCCGTGATGTGATGCTGAAGATTGGTGAGATGGCCTTCACTGGAGTCTCCCAGAGAAACATTGTCTTTAATGATGAAGATCTGATTAAATATAACCTCCAGCCTTCGCAGTTCCTCTCTGGGTTTCTCATGGAACTTGTGGAGAGAGAGTCTTCAGAGCACAGCGTGGTCTACACATTCCCGCACCTCACCATCCAGGAGTTTGTAGCCGCAATCGCTCAGTTCCTGTCTCCACATCCCAAATACACAATGCGGTGTTTGAAGAGCAGTGACATGGAAAATGACGGCCGGTTTCAGATATTCCTGCGCTTTGTTGCTGGTCTCTCCTCCCCACGGGCAGCTCAGCCCCTGGAGGAGTTTCTGGGTACATTTGTCCATCAGACAACCTGCGCGGTGATCGATTGGCTGATGGAGAAGATTAAAGCTCAGATCAGCGACACAGACACCGTCACTGGGAAAGGGAAGCTGCTGAACACACTCCACTACCTGTTTGAATCTCAGAATCAAGCCCTGGCACAGCTCACACTGGGCTCTGTACAAACGCTCACATTGGGTGACTTCTCTTCAGAGAAAGCATTGCGACTGACACCTATAGACTGTGTTGTGGTGTCTCAGGCCATTGGACTGTGCGACACAATAAAACTGCTGAATCTGAGCAGCTGCTACATTCAGAAGGAGGGTCTTCAGCGTCTGATGCCTGTTCTGCACAAGTGTCAGGAGTTACAGTAAGTTTATTATGTTTGAATTCCATATTCTTATTTTTCTTATTTGAAAGTCATTCTCCAGGACTTTACTGAAATTAAACATTAGATGATCAACGGGAGTTTCTAGCGCACTGAACCACTTCTCACCTCTATCCCTCTAAGCATCCCCCGAGCTCAGGCCCTCAGGAGTCACTCCCTTAAACATGTGGTTAGGCCGGAGGCTTCTTTTGTCCACCTCTCTCGTCAGCAACATCTCCACGTGTTGCACTCCAGCGATAAGAGACCTCCCGGGGGCTCCGGCACCACTTTTATCCAGGGGCAACTCTCTCTCCAGTCAATTGGTTATAAATCTGTTACAATGTAATTCACCCCAAACACATCTCCCTCAGCCTGACATCAGTCTGACAGGTGTGGGTTCCCCTGTCCCTGGAGAAGCGTCTCCATTTCCAGCTCCTGAGATCTTCCAGAAACAGGTCTGGAGCTCACAGTGTTTGTAGGGTGAAAGAGTAGAAACATAACCACAGACGTGAAGTTGTAGATTGCAGGTTGGGCTGACAGAAGCCAAGACATTAGCCCTGCACATATTGACCGAAAGTTACAGTTCTACTGGAATAGATCCAGCCTAAACTGTGCAGCTGACAAAACTAGGCACTGGGGAGCTCCCTAATACAGTAGATACAGCAGGCCAGCATGTTAGATGTTTTGATGAGATCAGGTGAAGCAAATATAAGGCTTATTATTGTTGTAACTACGATGACTTGACCGGAGAGATCATGTCACAGACGCTGATGTACATGGAGACGGTCTTATGAACCACTTAGTTTATTCAAATTTGGAAAACCTCAGAGGCCTCCAGTGGTACCTAAAGACACAACATGATCCTTGGCAGATCACACTAAGCGTCAATATCCTCCATTGCTCTCATCTCAGTTGCAGTTCCTCTCTGTTCACCACATTCCTCAGTGATCACACCGCACTGAGTAGCCAACAACGAATGACACAGGGAATATCAACCAATGTCACCAACCTATCCCTCCATTCGCTAGGCGGGCACTCGCCTATTCCATGTTCCCCCGTACCACCGTTGGCGATTGGGCCTTCAGAATAGCTGAAGCCCACACCAACTCCTTGCTCAGGTGCAAACCCCTGAGTGTCCAGGGCATTATGGTGTCCTCATGAGAGCAAGGCGCTACAAATCAATTTCTTACTGTTGTGGCCATAGAGACTGGGGGCCACTCGAAACTTCCAAACCCTTCCCTTTAAAGCTTTGAGACATTACCCTACGTGAAAGTAATATCAATGTAATCTGTTCCACAGATCAACCACGACTTAGGTCGATATTTGCAAGTGTATGTGCATATGCGGGTGTGTCTGACGATGGTCCCAACGCCTTGGGACTAGCTTCCCCACGTGAAAGGCTCCAGTATATAGATGTCAATCTGTATTATACTGTTACACTATATTCACATTTTCTCTGAATCTGTTCCCAGGCTGGGCAACAATAATCTGGGAGATGCTGGAATGAAGCGCATGTGTGATGCTCTGAGGAAACCGAAGTGTAAAATGCAGACTCTGAGGTAAGTAAAATATTGTGAACTTGCTGTCGGTGAATTATTCTCAACAGAGATTATGATATCCCGAGCAGGTGTGGACAGTATTAATATGTGTGCCTGAAATCTACAAGGACAGGTTCAGTGGCAGGATTTGAGGGTAAAACATTGGAATCAGAGATTCTTTACGCTCATCTCTTAATATCTTTGTGGGATAATATTTACAGGGTGGGGGTTTCAAAACAGTGCGCTGTTTCCCAGACAGAGCTGTTACGGTGGACCTTATACAACTTTAGCTGATTAAATTGTAGCAGTCACCCACTGCCACAACACCCACAACCCACCCGACACCCAACGCCCCCCCACCCCATCCCCATCCCCAGCTGCCCACTCCCCCCCCCCACCCCGCCCCCTATCATACACTCTGGGTTCCCTGAGACTCGAATCACACGAACCTTCACCCAATAAGGCAACCCTGACTGTGTCTGTCTGTTAAACACACAGCGACATTTTAATGTGAAGGTTGCAAAAATACCAGGACCCGGCCCTCCCTTCTATCCCAGACGACCAAACCCATCCAAGGCTCTAACTGTAGTCAACGTTATGGTTAATCTGATCCCTGTTATGTCTCTGTGTCTCTGATCTCCAGGCTGCGGGGTAACAATCTAACAGCTGATTGTACCGAGGATCTGACCTCCGCTCTCAGCACAAACCACTCACTGACGGAGCTGATACTGAACGATAATAAACTGGGAGATTGTGGAGTGAAGCGACTTTGTGAGGCTCTGAGGAACCCGAAGTGTAAAATACGAAGTCTGGGGTAAGTAGCACACTGTGTCTCAGAATCTGAATGAATCCAATTCCAGTTAGAGCATTCGTCCCGCAAATGAGAGTTCCTGGGTATGATTCCCGGGCAGGTCAGGGCGAAACATCAGGCAAGTTTTCTTACTCCACAAGCCTACGTTTACCCTGCAGTCAGTGTGAACCGATTGTAGTCGATTGGTAAACCGTTTTCCCGGAGTTCAAGTATCCTTTCAAAAAAAATATGCAGTCAATTCACTTAACAGTATATTAGGTGAAGCACTTTGAGACGTCTAGACGACACGATAATGGGCTATATCAAATGCAAGAAATATTATTATATTTTATATTTTCTCTCGATTTCGGGAAAAAAACCCTGAGGCTCCCTCACTTGTGGCATGGACTATCTGAGGGCGCTATTCGCTTCTGGCCTCTGACGCCTCTTCCTTTCATAGCTGACGGCCTGAATTGGGATACAGTTGGTTATATTAATGATATTTACTTTGATCTCTGTTATGTCTCTTTGTCTCTGATCTCCAGGCTGTGGAATAACTGTCTGACAGGTGGCTGCACTGATGATCTGGTCTCCGCCCTCACCACAAGCCGCTCATTGAGGATCCTGGACATTGGATCTAACTCCTTCACAGACGGCTCTGTCCCCGCTCTCCGCCGCCTCATACAGACCTGCACCAGTTTGGAGGAGATCTGGTGAGTGTTTGTGTCAGTGTTTAATGTGATAAACACACAGAGAAAGGGCTGGGTATCAGAATGGAATCAGTTTGAAGGAATTTATTTATTTATTAGACTGCGACATGAACAGTTTGCATAATTATTTCATCGGTTTATTTTTTTTTAATGTGTTTCAGGTTGTGTAAGAGTAAATTCAGTTCAGACGGACAGAAGCAGCTGGAGTCATTGCGGGGAATCAGAGCTGGGCTGACAGTGTTATTGTGACAAATATATTCTGTGCAGTGTAGTGGAATATATTCGTAGTGGAATATTTTCTGGGCGTTGTAGTGATTGACTATTAAAAATGTCGATCCTGTTTCCTCTCCCATCCCTGCTATGTTAATAGTTGATGTCACATAAACACTGCCTTCATCTCAAGGAGCCTGGAACACAAAGGGGAAGAAATGAAGCTCCAGCTATATAGAGTGTTACTCAGATTCCATCTGGATACTGCGTTCAGTTTTGGGCACCACACTACAGAAAAGATATAATGGCCCTGGAGGAGTTGCAACTCAGGTTCACCAGAATGTTACCAGTCCTAAAAGGTTTAAATTGAGAGTAAAGGCTGCTTAAACTTGGATTGTAATGCTTTGAGTTTAGAAGGTTAAGGGGTTAAGGGGTATTGCTTTGAGTTTAGAAGGTTAAGGGGCTTTATCTACCTTATCGTTTCGGGTTATCATCTTAAATACGTAAGATGATAACCCGAAACGATACGGTAGATAAAGAGAAGCTATTTCCTCTGGCTGGGGAATGCAAAATCAGGGCATTGTCATAAAAATAGAACCAGGCCTTTTAAGAATGAAATCAGGAAGCATTGTTTCACTGAAAGGGTGGACGAAATCTGGAATTCTCTTCCGCAAATGGTCGCGGATGCTGGATCCTTCCACACCTTCAATGGTGAGGTTGAAAGCTGTTTGGTAGGTCAAGGTATTGTGTGATATAGTAGAAAACGTAACATTGGAATTGAAAGGATTACTTGAGGTACAGATCAGCCATGATCCAATTATTAGCGGATTAGGCTCGAAGGGCTTGATGACATATTCCTGTTTCAATGTTGCTATGCTTCCATGTGCTTGTGTGAGTGCATGTGTCTGTGTGTGTGAGTGACTCTGTGTGTCCACGTGAAGGTCTGTGTCTATATGCTGTGTCTTTGTTTGTCTATTTGTAAAACTCATTTCCTTTGCTAGACCACTGTAATTAAAAACATATGTATTCCCCGTGTAATATTTTATAATCGGTGTAATTATACAAGAAATACTTTAGTTTGTATTACACCTCTAATATTTGGCCGGCATCTCAAATCTTTTCGGGGATTTACTGTGAAGTGACTGCTGCGTTTATAAGCGAATGTAGCATCCACTTTTCATAGAGCAGTGTCTACATCAAGTCACAGTTCACCCAACAAACATCAGGATTGAGCATTGAGCTCCCGACGTCTATAATTTTGATATTGAGCCTTGAGACGTCTCAAAGCGTATCAATGCTTTTCACAGTACACACTGTAACGCTCGGTGACTCAGTATTTTGTGGGCGAAATGTGACAGCCAATTGCAGCGACATCCCACAGTCAATTTTGGTTTGAGTGAAAACATTATGATTATTATTTGGAAGGGATTATTGTTCCCAGAAAGCGATCCACTAATCGAATAACAAGCAGATTCCTACTTGCTGCGAGGTAAACGGTAGATTGTGTTTGCGGCACAATGTTTCACCCTGACCCGCCCTGAAATCGAACCCTGGTCCCGCCGCTTGTAAGGCAAGAGCTCCAGCCACTATTATTGAAAGGTCTGAACGTCGAATCTCACTGTTTCGTGGAGCTTCATTTGGCCTTCCTTTGGCCTCCTGTGGTAATGCGGTTACAACCTTAAACTGTACACTTACAATGGTTATAATGGTTATCGGCTCCAGTAGGAAATTTGTCAATATAAGACACGATAATAATTATAATAATAAGAAGAATTCTTGCATTTGATATAACGCATCATCATGTCTTCGAGATGTATCAAAGCGCATCAGAGGATACACTGTAAAGTGTAGTGACTGTGTGTTATGGTAGCCAATTTTGCAAAGTAACATCCAACAAACAGTCATGGATTGAAACAAATATAAAACAAATTGGATTTGCTTCCATTTCTGAGTGTGGCTGCCTTACTTTAGTATGTTTTGAAGGAATTATTACGTGCCGTTGATCATCTCTTACTCACATAGTTGCTGCCCTCCACACTCCTGATTACAATCCCCAGCTCGGGTCAAAGTCTCTGATTGTCCAGCGCCTTGGGCCTTCTTCCCGATATGAAATGCGCTGTGTAAACGTAATGTGTTGTTATTTTTGCTCCCAGTCCACGTCAGGCTGACTCTCTATTCGATTCCTTGGCAGACAGATCAGGTAGAAACGTTAGGTACGTTTCCCAACTCCACAATAACACACATGTCTCTGTTTACCTAACAGCAAGTAGGAACCCAACTGTCCATCGCTTGGCGGATTGCTTCGCGACAGTAATAATCCCTTCAAAAAATAATAATAACAATGTGGTCAATCCACGACGGTTTATGGGATGTCGCTGTGTGCAATTGGCTGCCGTGCTTCGCCCACAAAATATATACAGATTTATGTTCGTGATTTTTTAAAACTTTTAATTAATATGATTAGATTCATTAAAATCAATGTATTCTAATAATTAATATAATTAGACTAATTAATATCAATGTACATTTAGAACGTAACCTACCCATAATCTTTTAATAAGATTTGTTTCATTTAATGACTGGCTTCGCAATGGTTACAAGTAGCTTTGCTGGACCGGTTCAGGTCAGCTTCTGAGTACATTTTACTCTTCTGAGACAGTGAGCAATCAGGTGCTTAAACACAGATGTAATAACAGACAATCACGGAAAGAATTGGCTACAGTCACAGAATGGGAAACAAGCTGGCTGTGAAAGGCTGCCCAGAAGCTGTCCATATCTTTCCCTCTGCAAAGCAGTCTGCGAAGTGTGGGGGTTGGTGGTGGGAGCTATTTCTGGTATAAAGGGAGATTGAGCAAGAAATACATGAAAGAAATCTGTAATTTTGGCATAGTTAGAGTTGGATAAAGGGTCAGTGCACTTACCAGTGGAATCGGTATTGATTCTGCTGTAAATATTCTCTCAGTTTTAAGAATAAGTTAAGCTGCTTCTTTGCTTAACAAACCTTGGATTTTTACGCCACCGTATTGGTCATCCCCAACCGAATATCTTATCACTTGGGGAGCCACCAAGAAGGAGGCTGTGTAATTGATCTAGGGTTAATTGTGCAAGTGATCACCCTAAATTTCGAAAAGCTAGTCTTGTGAATTGGCCGATGGGGACAAAGGAAATTTATTCCAAGATACGGGGAGAGATTTGAGCATCTCCTGCAGAATAAAGTGATCATGAGAAGCTACAAGGACGTTCGATAAAAAATTGTTCAGGATTCCGGGAAAGGGAGGATAGCTTCCATTGATGACCAAAGATGGCCCAGTATATAAGGAGGATCGAAATCCCAAAGATACAGAAGTTGATGAGTATCGCGTTAAAGTAAAGCTGGCCAGACAGTTATTGGTTTATGTGACGCAATGCTTGCGGAAAGAAGCGAATTGAGAGTAAAATGCACGCAGCAAGAACGAGAATGTATGCAGCAAAAACAGACAGAGGTAAAACAGCAGAAAATAAATTTATTGGGCAGAGTATCTCAATTACAGGCTCAGCTACTGTGGCACAATGTGTGAGAGCTCGGGTTATACTCAGAGAAAGGCAAGATAAATTACAGGAATTAAGAGAACGTCATAAAAATGGCCAGAGGCATTAGAACGAAAGAACAGAGAGCAGCACTAGAGCGAAAAAACTCTCGTTAGCCAGATAATCAATAGTCACTGGCGAGAGTGACTATTGGTAACCAGAGTTGCAGTGTGATCCAGTCACAACTGTGTAGTATATTGATTCAGCCATTACCAATCGAGGAAATGCAGAATTAAAAGACAAATCGGCAAAACTAAAAGATAATTTGTATGATACTAGAGCAGTTTTCAGATTGGCTTTGCAGAATCTGCCCACAAATCAAGTAAATCATAATGCTTGTTAGAACATGAAAAGGCAAGACCAACTTACGCCAGAAAATTTGCAGAGAGTCGGATGACGCAGAACAGGAATGATGGGGATGATATTAATTGGGATGATCTGGAGGATAAGGAACGCCCTTTCTATAATCCACCAATAGAATCCCCACCACTACCCACTGCTCCCGTTTGGGAAAGGAATCCCTCTCTGGATGGGGAGCCTTTGCCAGTAGCCGTAATAATAAGAACTGACAGATTTGCTAATGCCGAAGTACTACAGGGTCAACACCATTGTAAATCAGGAGGGCCTCAGGCTTGCTCACATTCAACTGCAGGAATTTTGCCCTCATCCAGGACTTGATGTCCGACAGGCAGTCTGTCAGGACAGCCGTAGTCACGGAGTTGAGGTTGGAGGCAGAAAGACAGACACACACATACACATAACACACACAGCAAACACTGGAGCATTTCAGATCAATGCAAAAACAACATATCAATCGAGTTTGGCCATTCACCCGGAGAGCATGGACCTTTCACCATCTCGAGGCTAATTGGCGGTTCATCCCCATGGCTCTGAGGAACTGTATTTCCTCCTGGTTAATATTCCAAAGTGGAGCAATGCAGAATATTGAGACCAGCTTGACTGCTAATAATAATATTAACAGCAATACCAAAAGAACCTTGCATTTGATATAGCGCTTTTCACATCATCGAGACGTCTCAAAGCGCTTCACAGCATAGACTGAAAAAAGTGAATTGTCTGTATATTTGTGGGCGAAACATGGCAGCCAGTTGCGCACAGCAGCGTCCCACAAATAGTCTTGGATTTAAGTGACCAATTTATTATTTTTATATTTTTTGTTGGAAGGATTAATGTTATCCATGAAACATTGCAGCGGTCAACAGTGTCGTTTTCACCTTCTCTTCGCTCTTTGAAGAATATTTCGACAATCCCGTAAATATATATGTGTGCAAATCGAAGGGTCAGAAACGGAGCAAAAAATGCCAGATATTTACATGCAAAAATTGGCACCATGACAGCCAGCAGAGCGCTGGCCGCTAAACGGAAACCGCGGAATGTGTCCGACTCCTCACCCCGGCCTTCACTCTCCTGACTGGACTTCTCGCCCGTCAGCTGATGTCTCAATTTCATGGCTTTGTCAAACCGCGATCGGGATTCATGTGAAGTCCTGCAGCTCAGGCTTTAGAGCACTCGCTTTGCAAGCCAGAGGACCTTTGTTCAAATCCAGCAGGTCAGGGCGAAACCTTGGGCATGTTTCCTTACTCAGCACACACACACACACACACACACACACAGACACACACACACACAAAGACAGACATGTGTCTGTACATGTGCTCTCCGACCGGACTTAACGAATATATACGGAGAGTTTTTAAAAAAGTTCAACTTCCCCTTCGCTGACCGACCTTAAAACTTTCGAGTCCTGTAGCTCAGTGGTTAGAGCACTCGCCTGGCAAACGGGAGACATGGATTTAGTTCCAGGCAGAGCGAAACCTTGGGCAATAATGGCGGATGGGGGGAATGACGGGAATGTTGGGTGGGCGGTTGTGCGTGGGTTGGAGTATTGTTGGGGGTTTGGAGTGTCTCCTGT